ATCTCTCTTTGTTATTCTCCTCTCGACCACTCTCTCTCACATAGGTTGTTTCTTGTTTGCAAGATCTGATACAAAATGTAAAAATATTAGCTGAAAGTGATATTTTATTGATTCAGCAATGGTGGCTTGTATTGTATGTAGCCTTACAACGACTCAACACTAGTAAACGGATAACTAAAACATAAGAACATACTCTAACACACGACTCTACTACATATACTCTTTAAGACTCGGACTTTATTGACTAGTGAAACAGATAAAGACTAATCCAACTTATGACTCAAAGACTAATTCAAACATCAACCCATTCAACGACCAGCGGTGTGTCCAAAGTGTAGCGATAATCATAAGCTATATATATGCTTGGGTCCATTATAGCTGTAATTTTACTTCCCTCTTCTATTTTTTGAAGGTGATCATGAGGAATCCAACTATTTTCATGGGTATGTAGACTCGTAAAACACATGTATGCCATGTTAACCATCTGAACTTGAATGATAGAAGTTTCCAGTATCATTAAATTTGTAAATTTCACTAATCATCCAAAGCTTTTAACTTATATTTTTATATTTTATTCAACAACATGTGACGTAATGATGTTACCCACACAAAACCACAACAGTATGGGTCTCAGTCAATCTCAAAACATATTAACTATCATGCATGTCAATTTAGTAAAAATGACCCCGAATTTAAGAGATACTGTATGTGTAACAAAAGTCAAAACACACCATACCATCACCATCATCATTATATTGTAATAATGTTAACAATTCTCTACATCAATCACAATTTCATTTGGGATCCGCGTAATGGCAAATTCGTGATTTAGTGATATATGAGAGGGTTTTGTTAAAGTAGTTACACCACAATTATTACGCCACAACAAATCCTCCTCTCCCCGTTCCGTTAAGTCACCGACACGTGTCAGCCGATCTACTCAACTCCATTCCGATCCAAATAACGGCGCCTTCAGTTTCCCGTCAAAGATTCCCCGTCACTGTAACGGGACCACTTTCAACACGCTAT